CCCGGCTCATGTCCCGGCTCATGTCCCGGCTCATGTCCCGGCTCATGTCCCGGCTCATGTCCCGCTTGTTAAAGACATGTGTTCCGACCCCGGTAAGGAACGAACGTGTGTCATAACGCGTCACTCCATGAGCACTTGTCTCATCGCATGTCTGTCGTGTCGCACAGCTTCTTGTCCGCGGGCTCGAACAATGGACCCGGAGGAAATGAGGCAGCGGGCTGCACCGCTGCAGCGCCGTGTGTTCGAGCTCCGGGTTCATGTGTGTGTGTGTGTAAAGTGAAGTGCGCACATCGAGGTGAAGGAGCGAGATTCAAACATGGACGCCAGGAGGAGGAGGAGGGCGGGGAGACATGGCGCTGCTCCCTCCGCCGGTGGAGACATTTAATCCTCCGCAGACATTTTAACTGACTCCTCTGCTGGGGGGCGGGAGCTCCAGCAGATCACCATCAATCAATCAAAGTGACACTACGTCAAACCGCGCGCAGCCTTCCGTTCAGCGCGCGAACTCGACTTTCTCGGTTTCCTGCTGCGGGGAGGACCGGGCCGGTGCCGGTGGTCTGCCGGTGCCGGTGGTCTGACCGGGCCGGTGCCGGTGGTGTGACCGGGGACCGGATCTTTGTTTCTGGAGAAAAAGATGAGGAGCAGCGGCGGACAGGAGGAGGAGGGGGCGTGGCTCCGGCTGTAGAAGCTGTCCATTGTTCCACTCCAACGCGCGAAAGAGAACACCTCTGAGCAGCCCGCAGCCAATCAGCGGCCGCCCACCTCCTCCACGCCCCGCCCCGCAGCCTATATTAGAGTGTCGGCCCGGAGCAGCACGAGCCAGTGGCACAACACAGCAGTGAGCGCGCGCAGAGCGAGAACCCGCCTCATTAAAGCTCATCACGGAACAATGGCCGACACCAAACTCGACTCCGTCTCCGACCTCTCTGCCAAGGTAAGCCGCCCGCCTCGCACCTTCACCGGGGGCCGTGGCGCACGGAGCCCCGTCTCCAGCGCCTCCCCGACACTTTTCCCACCGTCTTCGCTTCGCGCTCTTTCGGAGGAGGAGGAGGACAGAACCGGTGTTTACGTCTTTTTCTCCGAACTGATGGAGAATATGAGCAGAATAACGCGGGGGAGGAGGAGGAGGGGTCTGCCCCTTTGTTTATACAGCGGCTCGGTCCTCCGCAGGGTCCGGACCGAGCGGCTCGGTCCTCCGCAGCCGCTCCGGCGCTTCGCTCCGCGGCTCTTCGCGCGGAGCTGACGCGCATTATTCGCGCACTTATTCCACAACTTGCGGAGCTGCTGCTTAACGCGAGTTAATTCCGAGGTTCGATCCCCGCGTCCCGTTGCAGAGAACCGGGCGCTTTATTGAACAGATCGGTGCCGAGCTGCCGGGGCCGAGCAGCGGACTGACTGGGCTCTTGTGTCCGCTCCAGCTCGGGCTGCAGCGGCTGGGAAGTTGCTCCGTTTGAATGGAGGCTCGGTGCGTAATTCACACCAGCATCAACTTTGTGGGCTCCACTTCTCCGTGTTGGTGCTCCGGTCTGACCCGGTTTGTTTACAGAGTCTGTGGGGTCGGTGCTGCTGCTCCTTCAGCCTCCGTTTACCGGAGAGTCGCCGAGCGAGCAGCCGTGTTTGGAGCGTGTCCGCGGGGACAAGTTTCTTTCTGTTTGGTGACTGTGTGTGTGTGTGTGTGTGTGTGTGTGTGTGTGTGTCCGGGCTGTGGAGGTGTGATGTGCTCCTTCTTTGTGCTCCTCTCTCCAGTGTTGTGTTCTCCGGGTAGAGTCCCGGTGGTGGTGGTGCAGGGGGCGGGTTGGTTGAGCTCCGCAGGAGAACACACTCAGATCAGAACAATCATCAGGCTGATCCAGGAGCTGAGGAGGAGGTGCGGAGGGAAAAGTTGGGGGCCGGTGTCGCTGCCGTTAATCCGCGGAGTCGCTATTTATAGTTGTGGAGCGTTTTTACGCACACGCGCCTTTTTACGCACAACAGGTTCGATTCCTGCCGAGGAGCCGCCGCTTCCCCCGGTCGCGTTAACGGATCCTGGTCTGGAGATTCTGATGAGAACCGATCAATAACCGTATCTGCGCCGTTGGCGGCGAGCGGGCGACAAACCGACCGGACCGGACGCCGTTAACGGGCTCGAGTCGGTTTCATCGGAGGGATTTAAAACAGCCCCGGGGGTTTGAGCCCGTGTGTTTGCCGTATTTTCGCTTTTCGTGCAGTTTTTCCTCGGCTGCCATGTGTCGTCTATTGTCCTTCTCAGCCTCCGTTACAACAAGCGGCAGCCGCGTGCGTCGCGTTCTCCGCCTCCTCCTTCTCATCACCCTCCCTCCCTCCTGCCCTTCCCCCCTCCCTCCTTCCTGCGCCCTCCTGTGTTATTTTAAACCGAGCGGTGCATCCTGGGTATTGCAGTGCCTCTCCCGGGCGTGTCTCGTGACATATGGCGGTGACGGCAACCTGCGGAAGACTACAATACCCAGAGTGCCCTGGGCCACACATCAAAGTATCAGATTACAACACATTAGAGGGGAGGGGGGGGGGGATCTGCAGAGATGGTGTTTAAATAGGAAGCTCTCCTTCTGCCTGCAGCTCCCACAATGCACCGCGTCTAAGTAGGCCATAAGGTAGAAGCATCCTGAATATTGTTATGGTTTCATATTTCAACGCTTCTGTCTCCACCAGGAACTGAAAGAGAAGAAGCTGGTGGAGGAGAAGGAGAACGGCAAAGATGCTGCCACCAACGGGAAGGTAACAGTCGCCTCAGCCCTGTTCCCACTTGGTTCTGGTGTTCCTCCTGGAGGCTTCTTGGATCCTCTGCACTTTTTGAAAGGTTTTTGTTGTGTTCAGGAGAACGAGGAGAATGGTGAACCTGAGGTAGATGATGAAGAGGACGAGGAGGTGGACGAGGAGGACGAGGAAGATGATGGAGAAGGTATGCAGATGTTTTCATTTTAGTTTTTCACTCTTTTGTTTTTCATAAAATTGGCAACAACTTCTTCATTCTGTTTATCCTGCAGGTGATGAGGAAGACGAGGAGGAAGATGAAGACGAGACTGAGGGTGGCACAAAACGGGCAGCAGAGGACGACGATGACGACGACGAGGTGAGGCGGGGACTAGTACGCCCCCTCCGCAGTGGAAGCGGCCAATCAGGCCTCAGGTTTTCCAGTTTAACTCATCACCCTCTTCTGTCGTTTCAGGATGACGTCGAAACCAAGAAGCAGAAAACCGACGACGACGATTGATGCGTCTTCCCGCCGCCATCCTGCTCAACAACTTCCAGGTTCTTCACCTCTGACTGTTTTTTAAAGGTCACAGGTGAAGGGGCTGGAGGACGGATTTAAAGAAAAATAATAATAACAAATCCAACATGGTCATTAGCAAGTAGAGTTCAACAAACATCCACCACGTCCACACGAGCCTCCCCGCAAAACTGCAAATTTTGTAGAAGAACCACACCGACGCAGAAATCAGGCTTAACAACAACAACAACAACACAAAAGGAGAATTTGTTTGTATTTTTATTTACATTTTATATTTTTGTACATATTGTTAGGAAGGGGGGTCAGTTTCTCTCTCGGCAGCGATCTCGTCAGACCAAATCGGTGCTTCTTAAACGAAATATTTTACTTGGTTGACCATGTTACGATATCTCAACAGATACAAGGAAAACATGTAAAAAAGCTAAAAACATGACAGAAACCTCTTAAGCCGTTGAACTCAGAGCATTCCAGTAAATTTAATGTATGTACTTTAGCTGTACCATAACTAGTTTGTTTGTACGGGAGGGTGAGAAAAAGAAAAGAGCCTCTTTTCTTTTCTTTTTGTTTTTGTCAGCGACCTTTTTGTTTTATGACGGCCTGTTTTGATGTATGTGCGAAGTTTGTTGTTTGACAATAAACCGGACTTTTATTTTGTGAGTTGTACTTTATCTCTGCTCAGATTTTTCTTCTTCGGTTGAGTTTAATTTGTGGAGCGTCTTTGGAAGGTCGGAGGTCATCAGAGGTCATTGGGCTGTGGCCTCAGGTCCTGTCTCCAGCAGCAGTGGTGCTAAGTAACTGAGTACATTTACTCGAGTATTGTACCGTTGAACACCCTTTTCTTTGAGGAAGTTGCAGCTCAACAATATGAAGGAAGTAGATTTCAACAAAACTTAAAAACAACACTTTCATTTCAGTAAAAAAAAGACAAACATTTAACCTGATTTAAAAACTCAGTAAATACATGAACTAATACTGTTAATTACAAAAAGATAAAGTAACAAGTAGAAGCTGATAAATGGAGTAAAATCTAATAATGGAACAAACCAGACCAGGTAACCTGCTACTGCTTGTTGAGTACTTCTACTTACTCTTTTGACATGTAAAGTACATTTTAGTACAGAATGAATTCTAAGTAGACAAAGTATTTTCTGTGTGAGTTCAGTGGAAGTAGCCGTGATGGATTGTAGCTAAATACATTTATTCAGGTACTGATAGTCAAGTATTTCTAGAATCCACATATTTTAAGTAGTTATGTTTTCAACATAAATAATATAACTGGAATTCGTCTAATTGAAAATACGACAAACTCTTATTAAAGCAACAGAATCAATATGAACTTGTGACTTTGAGACGTTGCAGCTGCTTTGGGACCGAGCGGTTCTGATCATGTGTTTACTATGTTTAAATATCTGCTGTACTCTCAGCTGTGCTTTATAAATAAAGTTTTTATTATGATTATTATTTTTATATTTAATATTTGGTCTGTCGCAGCTTTGACATCTGATTCTTCTCACACGGACGTTTTACACATTCCTGCCACATGTTGATCACACACACACATACATGATGGTCCCGTGTTTAATCTGAGGGTTCATACGATGACTCACAAATAATAAACGTGATAAATACAAACATGTTGACATCTTCGATCATTCATCTGTTTTTTAACTTTAGAAAACTTCTACACCACAGTATTATTTATAGTACTTACAGGAAAGTAATTTCAGGAGCATCAGTCTGACGAACTTTGAATTGTTGTGTTCTCGTACTTGTTGTGTGGTATTTGTACTTTGTGGTATTTGATGAGAGTGAATCTGTGCAGGCTGAGAGACACGAGCACAAGAAGGTGGACCACGATCTGATCCCTGTTCAGTCATGTCAGCTGCAGAGTGACACGAGGACGTCCACACGCAGGAATGTCAAAGACACGCAGCACGCCACAATCACTGCTCCGTGGGACTCAAACACACCGTCCAACTGAAGTGAACTGTCCTACTGAAGTGAACTGTCCTACTGAAGTGAACTGTCCAACTGAAGGTGTGTGAACTGTCCAACTGAAGTGAACTGTCCAACTGAAGGTGTGTGAACTGTCCAACTGAAGTGAACT